AAAAAAAAAAAAAAAAAAAAAAGACAGGGACAGAGACTAAGACAGAAGAAAGCAGCCTCCGTCGGCCTTTCACCCTCCTGCGACCACTGCCTTAGGGAGCAGAGCGCAAACTCTTCCCCAGGACCCACTCTTTCTCTCTCCCCTTCAATGACAGAGGACAGTTGTATTCTGGGGGACTGGCGGGATGGGCGGGGACTTCCTTCTGTCATTTTGACCTGTATTATCTGTGCACTCAACAACAACGAAGAGAGAATGGAATACAGAATAGGAACAAGAGTCGAAATCCTTATTCGTTTTGCTCAGAGGAAAATTTCATATATTTAAATGTATTCTTATCAACCACCCCTCCAGAAAACAAGCGCAAGCCTCAAGTGAAAACAAGTTTTCAAAATAGAACACAGAACAAAGGATACAAATGCACCTACTACAAATGTCGGGTTAAAGACATGGTTCTGGAAGGTGAACAGTGTCAGTCCCATGTAGGAGAAGATGAAATTCTCTGCCAAGAAATTGAGAAGCTCAAACAACTGAAACGAAATTTTAAAAGGTTAGTCCAGTAAGTGCATTAAGTTACATCATTTGAAAACACGACTATCACTAAGATAATGAAGCAGACCCTTCCCCTAGGTAAAGCCCACGTACATCCCCAAAATATGTGCTTCAGAGGGGAGCAAACGTAGACAGGACATTTCTGGTCCCACGGAGAAAGCCAGAAATGTCGCCTCTGCACGTCCCTCCGTTGGCTTCCTTTGCCCAATCCCCATGTTCAGTCATTCTCCTCTTCCTTCTCCAAACCTTGTGAAGTGTTCTCTGGGGATGTTCCTTGCCATCCCTGCCACTGCCTTAGTCTGTCTTTCTGGCTTTCATCACCGCCCGCCCCTACTGCTGCAAAGGGCCCCTGACTGTGTCCCTGACGCCCCCATCCTGCATCCTCACCCAGGGGGTCTCTCTCAGCATGGCAGTTTGAAGACCCTTCCCTCTTTTAGGCTGGAATATCTAGTTCAAATTCTCTTCTCTTGGCATTGAACGCTTCATGACAAGTCTTGTATCACCTCCTCGTGTGATTTCACTTTTGACGTGGGTCTTAGCCCTCATTTAGGGAGCAGGGGCTTACACGTTATAGCCACATGCTCTGTCCCCTCCCCTGCTGCCTGCCCACCCCCACCACTTCACACCACTGCCTGTCAAGTGTTACTGACACGATAGGGATTCAAGATTTGTCGACTGAATGAATTCCAGGCCCTCTGTAATCCACATCCCTCGGTCCATCAGAGTTATCTACCACTGCTCTTGAACGTGAGCCCTCTGGCCCACTAAACAGGGTAGTGGTTAAGTAACAACATGGGCCCGGGGGTCAAAATGCCTTGGCTCGAATCCTGCTTTTCCCACTAGCTGGCTGTGTAGCTCCGGGCAAGTTAACCTTTCTAAACCGGAGTTGCCTCATTCTTGAAAAATGGGAATTAAAAATGGAAATAAATAAGTATATATTTAATTTACTTTAAATGACTTAATATACTATTATTATTAGTTACTCATTTGCTTAATTATCAAGCTAAACTTTTTTAGTTTAATAGCTAAGACAGTTTTTATCATGCGCCTGGTACTATGCTTGCGACTTTTACAAGCATTATCTTGTTTTAATCTCACAACTCCGTGAGCTAGGTATTATGATTATCCTCATTTGGAAGATAATAAAACTGAAGCATAGAGAAGTTATGTAACTTGCCCCTGTCACACAGCCAGCAAGTACTGGAACCAGGATTTGGAACAACACAGAATCTCTGTTTTAATCCACGACACCAAGGGTTGGCAAACTTTTCCTGGGAAGGACCAAAGAGAAAGTAAATATTTGAGGCTTTGCAGGCCACACGGTCCCTGTCACAGTCACTCAATTCTGCCAATGAAGCACAAAAGCAGCCACGGACTACATGTTTAAAAAAAAAAAAAAAAAGGGTGTGGCAGTGTGCCCAGAAAACTACTAGTGGACACCGAAATCTGGATTTCATATCATTGTCATGTGTCACAAAATCTTCTTCTTCTTTCGATCTGTTTCCAACAACTGGAGAAATGTAAACATCATCCTCAGCTCACAGACCTTACAGGCAGGTCTGGTCATTGACTGCCAACCCCCGGGGCCACACTTCGCTGCTTCCATTCGCTAACGTTACCTACTTTCTGTTTCTACCTTTGCTGGTATTATTTCCCTGTGGGTTTTTTTTCTTATGCTTATGCTTTTTCTAGGCTTTTCTGAATCCTTCCCATCTGTCTAGGTGTACCATTTCTTCTCTGATAGTTTTCCCGCCTCTTCAGGCCTCAAACCCTCTCTCCACTTCTCTGACCTCTTGTAGGACATATCATCTGAAACACAGAATCTAGAAGTTCTATTAATCTGGGATTTTTTTTTACTGCTATACAAGCTTCATATCACCAATAAGACTGGAAACTCCTGCCTTGTTGCTTCTGAATTCCCCACCTCATTGTCTAGAAAAAATGCCAAATACCCCAGCTGATTTTCTTCCCTACACTTAATGAAGTGAATGAATTTGTAAAAGGGATTTGTAGCCCCAGTGTATATGCTTGGGGAAGAAAAGTCTAATCTCTTGAGGAGTCAGAAAAAAGCACAGGTTCATATGCTACATTTCTGGCTCCAGAAGAAAGAAAAAAAGAATTAGGGCATTTGCTCCTGCTTTATCAGAAGAGTCCTTTCCCGGGTAATCTCACTGTGTTCTAATCATTTGGGAAAACGGAAAGCTTGGATTTCTCGATATAACCATAATCGGGCATGTTTCTATTCCAGACATTACATATTGTTCATCCACTCGTTCCGTACGCTTCGTAAGACTAGAAAACCCTACGTCTATTTCCTTTAGAACTCCCTTCAGGTACCCTGCACAACTGATCATTCAGTACCATGGGAAACCCAAGCACTGGTGTAGCTGACGTTCCTTGAAACACAGCGGCTGTGAAGTGCCTGAAAGGAAGTCGATCTTCTCTTCTCTGGGGCACCCGGCAGCAGACCCAGTCGGATCAGAAATGAACCTTATTTCTATCACCCGGAGGTACTTCTAGTCAGACCTGAACGAACTTCCAAAACGTTCCTCTTAGGAAAACAAGGAAAGGAAGCTAACTGATGGCTGGAGCCACGATACTAATGGCCCCTCGCTTTTGTGCTGAACTATCTCTACCCTAAGAGCTGCCACCCTTCAACCCCCATCGATTTCCAGAGTCAAAGTGAGAGAAGCTGAAATGAATAGGCACTGTTTGGAACCAACTAAAGATGATTTTTCAGTAACAAAAAAAAAAAAAAAGACTTCTGTTTTGCTGCAAGGAGGAAAAGTTTATTCACAGACTAAAGTTTGTCTTACCTGTTTAGTTCTATGCTGAGACTCTGTGGACAGATTATTGTACGTGTAATGGGCCTGTGTGATGCCGCAGAACAACACTGCAACCACGCCTATAAAGACAACAAGTTCCAAGTTCACATCAAAGGAGAATTCCCGACTTTCAGAGTGAGGCTTTTACTTCACAGAAGATCATATGCTCAGTGTTGGAATTTCCAGTTGTCACTTACTTTGTTAAGAGGAACCACTTCCGTTAAAAATCTTTTCTTTTTATACCATGAAGTAACTGCGTAAATCCCAACCCTAACGAGTTTGTTCCAATACTAGAAGCTCTGCCCATAGGTAGAAAAAAAAAATGACTGCTAAAGTCACTCCCTGTGAACGTTTACAATAAAAAGGGGCAAGGACCCTACCTGTGAAACCCCACGCTTCAGCCAAGAGGAAAGTACTCCAGGACATCAAGAAGAACAAGCCTGTCTCCAACAAATGGAACTCCCGTAATTTGGTGAACTTTGTCACGTAAGACCGTCAAGGTTGATAACAAGATCTCGTGATACAGAAGTGCGACTAGAAAAAAAAAATGTCGAAGCAAGGCAACCACGCAAGAAGGGTTCTCCGGTCTAACACAAAAGTCACAGAATAAGGAGGCACCAAAGCGAAGGAACTCTTAAAATGAGCGTCATACTGAGGAGTCAGCAGTCTTTGCTTCCGTGAGGAAGCCGCAGTTTTGTCAATCCGATCGTTTTATGGGTATCGCATGCCTTGCCGGAAACCGCATCATAAAGGACAGGCAGAGACGGGAGTGACAGAGCAGACACACGACATGCCAGCTCTGATTATAAATCTGCAACCCGAAGCAAGACAGCTTCCGTAATTATAGCGATTTACATTCACTCAGTACATGGCATTTCCATGAGATTTCATGTTCATTTGATCCCCTAGCACCTCTGTGATGCAGAGTAGTCCATGATGAAGCAACTGAGGCACGTCACCCACGTACACTAATCTCAAAAGTATTTTGTTAGTCAAGGGGAGAAGGGCCTGTGTAGGCCTGTGACAAATCTCAGACTGGAGTCTACATTCGCTTCAACAACTGTGTACCACAACAAAAAGATTCCTAACAAGATATACTCCCTACCCTCAAGGAGATTGTTAATGGGGCAGTGATACGATCTGTCCTGGCTCCTCCTTCAGAACATCTTACTGTCTCTTTGTGCCTCAGTTCACCTGTAAAAAGCCATAAGACGAGTCCCTTCCAGCGCAAAGCTGAAGTAGAGCAAACTTACAGATCCTTGAAAAAAGTTTTTTTTTTTTTTAAGATTTTATTTTTGGGGCGCCTGGGCGGCTCAGTTGATTGAGCGTCCGACTGCGGCTCAGGTCACGATCTCACGGTTCGTGAGTTTGAGCCCCGCGTCGGGCTCTGTGCTGACAGCTCGGGACCTGGAGCCCACTTCGGATTCTGTGTCTCCCTCTCTCTCTGCTTCTCCCCTGCTCACACTCTGTCTCTCTCTCAAAAATAAATAAAGATTTAAAATTTTTTTAAAAAGATTTTACTTTTAAGTAGCCTCTACACCCAATGTGGGGCTTGAACTCACAACCCTGAGATCAAGAGTCACACGCTCTACTGACTGAGTCAGCCAGGTGCCCCAAAGAGTATTTGTTTTATATAAAAATATCTTACAGTTCTCGAACTGGAAGCTCTTTAGAGGTCATCTAGTCCCACTCATCTTCCCTGCTGTCCCCACCTGCCACCTTCCTACACTAAAGGTCCACAGGCGAAATGTCGGTGCTCCTATACAGGAAGCACCAGGAAGGCAGAGGCCACATTTGTCTTGTCCATCTTTGACGCCCAGAGCGTAGCATCTGGCATGCAGGAGGCAATCAGGAAGTGTTTTTTGAATGAACATAAGAGTGGCTTGCCCAACATTTCCAGTAGCAGACTGGTGGCAATGCCAAAGACTCTGGAACAGAAGGTTAAAATCGGTTAAGAGCTGAGATGAACTCCCATCTGTCCAAACCCAGGAAGCCTCTTTTGTTCAATAGGCATCGTGGTCGCACGTTTCTATTCGTCCTATTCAACAAAGAGCAAATGAAGAGTAGTGCAGAATACTCCGAGGCTCTGTGAAATATATTTACCTTATATCAATTTAGTCTACAATCTTGGAGGGGTCACTGTCTCTAATTAGACTTTTTTAGTGAAAGTTTGAGGGCATGGAGCTGAATGCAAAACGATGAAATTCCTTTATTTATCTATCGGAAAAGATGACTACCTAACGTTTTCAAGCCAAGTACTTGGTTATAAGGTTAATAATTATAGGGGCGCCTGGGTGGCGCAGTCAGTTAAGTGTCCGACTTCAGCCAGGTCACGATCTCGCGGT